CTAGGTCATAAAGCAAAACCCAACCAGAGTTTAGCTACAGCTGAAGGTGCATACGTAATCCTCAAACAGAAGAGCAACTAATTTTATTGCCCTGGGAAACAAGAGTGCACGCGAGTAGATTAAGGTTAAGTAAGAGTAGTATTTGATCTTGATAAACAGTGAGACACAATAAGGTTATGAGCTGTCATTACCTATATAAAAGATAATTGAACATTTCTTGATTCAATACAAAATGCCCTGGTTATACTGTTGCCACATTGAATGGTTAGCTGAGCTCAGCTCATAGGTGAAATACAAACTATGTGCAATTCAAACAGTCTCAGGCATATTATAGTGACTAATAGTCATTTGTTGGCTAATAAATAAATGGAAAAAAAACCTGTCATCATCACCATTTTGCAGCTGAGAACACTGAGACTCTCAGAGATGAAATAACCCACCTGCAGTCACACAGTTGCAAAGGATAAGGTTTAAACACAAATATAACACATGAATCAACAAATCGCTTGTTCTCATTTTAATGGCATCAGTGTGTGTACTGAGCTTCAAGCCTGCATGTGGATATAGTTAAGATTTCTTAAAAATTAAAAATGTCCTGAGGATGTGGCTCTGTGGTAGAGTACTTGTTTAGTGTGCAGGAGGCTCTGCGTTCAATCCCCAGTACCGGGGGGAAATGAGTTTTCCAAGTTTAAAATCTAATATGTCACAGCACACAATTGTACTAGGTGCTCTGAGGCGTACAGAATTACAAAATGCCCTCTTTACCATGGTACTTCTGTGTATTTTGAGTTTCTGCTTAGAGTAATCATCTCATCTAAGGATGGCCAGCCACCTGTGACATGAGCCTGCACGGTCATCCCACTCTGTGCGTTCTCTGAATCGCTGGGGAGAATGAGTAGCATCAAGTCTAGATGGGTTCTAAGTAATAGGTGGATCCACCTGCTAAAAGTGAGGTAAAAATAAAAGCTAATAGGAAACAGCGAAGGGCTGGGGACCTGGCAAGCGCAAGGTTATGAGTTCAATTCCCAGTACTGGACAAAAAACAAAACAAAACAAAAAGTGTCAACAAGGAAACAGTGAGATAGGTCTATCACAATTGAGAAGGGGACCAATACCGCCGGGCGTGGTGGCACATGCCTGAAATCCCAGCACTAGGGAGGCTGAGGCAGGAGCATCATTGGAAGTTCAAGACCAGACTGGGCTACAAAGTGAGGTCAAGACCAGCCTGCACTGCATAGCGAGACCCTGTCTCAAAAAGACCAAACCAAAAAAAAAAAAAAAGAGAGAGAGAGAAGGGGACCAAGAGATGGAGAGAGGAGAAAAGGAGGGGACAGGAAGGGGACATAAAAAGAATTAAAATGTGTTACATATGTGGACCGATCCCCCACAATGAATATAATCACTGTGTACAGCAAACATGTACTAATAAAGTTAAAATGTGAGGTTAAACTTAAGGAGAGATTGGGAACTCGACAAGAGGTGAGTCTCAGGCCACAGGGAGGGCCTGAGGAACACCCAGTAGATTTGATGTGGTGTCCCCAAAAATCCAAACAAAAGGACCTTACATTTTCCATGCAGCCCGCTACCCAACAGAGGGCACACTCATTGTCCCAGGACCTCCTCGCCTGGCTTCTCCTTGCCCCTAAGTCCCATTTACCCCGAGTTTGAGATAACAAATATCAGTCAAAGCACCGATCGCTTCCTGCGTGCGAAAGTTGCCTGGGTTAATAACACTCACGAGAAACCTCAGCAGGGAAGCATTTCATTAACATCCTTCACAACTTTTCAGCTCAGCTTCTGCACACATGGTGTGCTGCAAGCTCCCGTTAGGAAACAGAAGAACCAGCCAGATCCCTCCCCTCATCCCTTTCTCCTGTGACATTCAGCCACTGCCATCCAGTGGCCAGGAAGGGCATGACCATGCCATTGTGTGCAAACTACAAAAATGTCTCCTGACCAGAAAGATGAGAAGTGAAGGGAATAAGACATATAAAGGCAATTCTCAACTTAAACAAAGGAAGGGTTTAAGCAGTCCTCAGTTTATAACTGGCTTGTGTTCTAGAATATTTGTGTGTATATAATGGCTATGCAGCATGTGAGATATATTTTCAGTTGGGGAGAAAAGCTTCCCAAGCATGTCTATCAGTTCCTATTTCCCTGCACAGGCCAAACACCAAGCCTCATCCCAGCTGTGCCTAATGGCTGTTTGCAGCTAGTCTTCTACCAGACGTGCACTGGAGTCCCAGCTCAGGATGGCACACGCCCAAGGTTGCAGTAGAGGGTGCTGAGAGCTGGGAGAGAGGCAATGGTAGCATTGTGGCATGGACGCTGTGCGCTGGGCTTGCTTCCTTGTAGAAAGAGCTTGTTGTGCATTGGGTGCTGTTCTGACTGCTTACAAACCCAAGCCCAGTAATAGTTACCTGAGATGGGCACTAGGGTTCTCCCAGTTTTACAGGTGCGGAACTGCGAGGTTAAATAAAGCTAGCAAGTTGCAAGGCTGAGATCCAAATTCAGGAGTCATCCACTGAGCAGAGGAGAAAGCGCGGGTCACACAGCTCTGCAGCATTGGTCTGGGGCAGCTGTGTCACAAGTGTGGGACCTAAGGCTCACTTCTTCCCACTGTGATGTGTCATCCTGAGATGCCAGAGCAGCAGATAGGCCAAGCTCAGACCAGAAGCTGGCAGTGGCTTTCCAGAGGTGATATTTCCTAACGTGTGCATGAGGTGTGAGTTTGAGAAAAGTGTTCTGGGCAGAGGGAATCCTGAGCTATGCGGACACTCGGAGTCTGATGTGGCTGGGAACTGTATGTCCAGGGACTAGAAGTGACACCAGAGTGTGGGATAGGTGAAGCAGGAGATGGTGCTCAGCCAAGTCCTTGGAACCCCTCCTGGTGGCCTCCGATGCTCTAAAATTATTTTAAGTAGGAAGTGACATCATCAGATTTGGAGATGGCTTGGAGGGAAGCCAGATGATGAGACGGGCTAATTGGGAGGCTGTTACGATAACAAGGCAATAAATCTCAACCAAGACACTGGGGCTTGGGAAAATGATAAAGAAATTGCATTTGAGATACATTCATGGATGCAGATGTTGGTGTTCATTCTTCATTAGCCTGAGACATCCCATAGCTGAAGGGTGAAGGGCAATCCCTCGAGGAGGGTGGACAAGGCCTGTCCCGTCTGCACCCAGCCCCACTTGCAGCAGGTGCTGGCCTTGGGGAGTGGGATGGCCACATGAGAGACATCTGCCTGCTCACCAGCCCCCCACAGGTTATGATCGACTCCCTGGTGATTTGAAAGTGCTGCTTCCTGGGTCTCCCGGGTCGGGCCCTCTAGGGAAATTCTTACTCTTCTCAGCACCCATCTCAAAGGTCAACACATGCTCTCAGACGTTTACTGAGCACCCTCACAGACACTTCGTCGTGGCCTGAAACACTTTCACGGCACACAGGAAGAGCCAAGTCCTTTCCCTGTGTGGCCTTGGTGACCTCAGCGGTGGGCCCCCGCCCTTCTCCTGTGGACGGGCTCCGTCTTACACCCTGCTCACACCTACTCCTCTCAAGCTCTGCCACGTGTACAAGTCACCTCAGAATCTTGCTGAATACGCAGGGCCTGATTCCACGGCTTTGGGTTGGGGCCCTCGAGTCTACGTTTCTCCCAAGACCCCAGCAGCTCTACGGACTGCACTTGAATAGCACGACCCTGTGCATTTTCTCAGGGCAATAAGGCAATTACCTTTGGTTTTCTATGCTGAACTCTTTATAAGGGAGAAGTTACATACATTGAGATGTGCAGAATTTAAATGCACAATTGAATGGATTTGGAGAAATGCATGCCCCCCCATGACCTCAACTGAAAATATTTCTATTTCCAAGATGTTCCCTTGTTCCCTTGTTCCCTTGTCCATTTCATCTTCCCAGGGATGTAGTCTGAAGAAGTAGCTTTTTGATTCAAGAAGCTTGATCCAAAGAGAAATTTAAAGAGGGACAAAAGAAACTACACCCATCTTTCAGGCAAATCCTATGTACAAAATCTACTGGTCTACCTAATCATTGGTGCTACTGTCTTAGGATAGTTTTTTTCATTCATTTTTCTATAAATAATTCCACAGGCCAGGTCCTGTGCTTGACATGAGATGGCCAAATGTCCATCATGGCCCTGGACTCAGGAAACCAGCTCTCCTCAGTCTTTTTGGCTGCTATAACAAAACGCCCTAGACTGAGCATCTTATCGACAACAATGTATTGCCAACAGCTCTGGAGGCTGGAAAATCCACGATCAAGATGCCAGCAGATTCATTTCTTGGGAACCCATGCCCTGGTTTGCAGACAGCAGCTTCTTGCTGTGTCCTCACACGGTGGCTGGGGCTATCTAGGGCTCGGGAATCTCTTTGATAAGAGCATCCATCCCTCTTACCTAACCCCTGAGGCCCCACCTTCTGATGCCATCACAGAAGGCTTTAGAGTTCAACATGTGGACTTTGAAAAGACACAAGCTCTCAGACCGTAGCACAGATTTTGAGGATTGTGCATTCCTGGCTGGGCCGGGGCAGGCTGGGGAGCAGGCGAGGAAGCCCTTGCTCATTAGTAAATCTTGGAGTTACTTACCATCCTCTTGCACAGCACTTTGCAAAACCCCCTTCCAGGTCTCGTTTCATTTCCATAACAGAACTATGACAAGGCAGGTGCCACTGTCCTCTTTTATGGCAATGGAAATTGAGCACTGAAAAGGTTGACTTAGAGTCACACACTGGTCAGCTACACAGTGACCTCTGAGCTCTCAGAAAAGCAGCTCTCCAGCTGCTTCTGGAATGGTGGTGAAGCCAGCGGAATGCAGGAATCAAGGCGCCCTCCCAGGAACCTAGACCGAGTCTGTGCTCGAGCTTAGTCCTGGGGATGGGACCAGCCACTTGCACCCTGAGAATCCGCTCCCTTTCGGGAGGGACGGCCCGCATCCCCCAGATGGCTGGACTAATCCCCAGCATCCTCCTCTGTGTTTCAGAGCCTTGCTCCCTGTTCCTGCACCATGAAAATCCTGTTCTATGACCTCCTGCTCCTCAGCCTCCTCTCCAGCGTCTTCAGCAGTTGTCCCAGGGACTGCCTCACCTGCCGGGAGAAGCTCCGCCCAGCTCCGGACAGCTTCAACCTGGAGGTAGGTCCTCCTCCCGCCCGATCCCAACTGGACCCTGAGTGAAACTCCATCCTCTTCCATGGGTCTCCCGCCCTGGTCTCGTGGCCAAGAGGAAACAAATGTGGACTTCAACTGCACCTTCCAACCCAGAACCCTGGGATCTTTCCACCTCCCACCTTCTAGCAAAGACCTGCCCACCCCACCTTCTCATTCCCAGGATTAAAATAATGCTTCTTAGCCAGGGGTGGCAGTGCATACCCGGAATGCCAGCAATCTGGGAGGCTGAGGCAAGAGGATCGCCAAGACTGAGCCTAGTCTGGGCAACTTACCAACTTAGTGAGACGCTGTCTCAAAATAAAAAATAAAGAAGGGTGAGAGTATTGCTCAGTGCAAGGACCTTGGGTTCAATCTCCAGCACCACAAAAATCAATAAATACAAAAGTCATGAAACAAAAGCATTTTTAATCCCAGCAATCAAAGAAAGAATCTTATTCTTTCTCTTACTAGAGTATTCAGGATAATCTTCCCATGTTATTCCACATCCTTTGAAGTTCTTTCTCCCCATAAATATGGTATCATCTACTTTACCACTCCCCACCTGCTGAACACAAATGTTGCCCTCCACTTTTTTTTTGGCACCAGGTGTCGAACTCAGAACCTTGCACTTGCCAGGTAGGCGCTGGTGTCCCTGAGCTATATCCCCAGCCCTTACCCTCCATTTTTGACATTACAGTTAACCCTACAGTTACCCAAGATGCTGTCCTGTATTTTAAATTTCCACCTTGAGGTGCAAATCCAGTGTTAAATTTTTGTTCATTAAATAAACTGTCCTCTTACCTCCTTCACTTTCCACCTAGTTAGTTCTCTCCTATCAAATCTAGTTTCATTCCATTTTTTCCCGTTGAAGTCAATTAAACGTCTTCCAAGAGGCTACATGTCAAACCCCTCTGTTTTTCAAAACAACCAAGGCAGCCACCCTTCCCTGGAGACCAGAGAACCTGGTGTCCATGTCGGTTGAGCCACCGCGGTGTCTCAGGCTCCAGGTAGCAGTGAGCAACTCACAGCAACCGGATGCAATCAAGGTCCTCCTTCTGGACCCCTGCGCTTTTCTCCTCGATCCTGCCCTGCCCTCATGCCCTCCCTCAGGAAACCTGATCTCTGTCAGTTTCCTTGTTTGGTTCCCAGGGCTCTTCTCCCTCGCTAGCTACTCTTTTCCAGCCTCTTTTGGCTGCTATTCCTCTCTGTACCCCGTAAACATAAGAGAAACCCTACTTCTAGTCCAGTATAGTGGTGTAACCCTGTAATCCTAGCACTCAGGGAGGCTGAGGCAGGAGGACTACGAGTTTGAAACCAGCTTAGCCAAGACTCTGTCTCAAAACAAAAACTGAAAGGGCTGGGGACAGCTCAGGGCAAGGACTCTGGGTATAATCCCCCCAGTACCACAAAGAGAGAGAGTTGCCCTGTTTCATCTCCCCATCCCACCCCTTCTCCCTCTGAGACCCCACTCACACATCTCAGCCCTTGCCCCTCCATGCTGGTAACTCCCAAAGCTGCAGCTGACCTCCTCTCTCCTGGCCTCAGACCCACATTCCCACTCACTTTCCATAGCTCCCAGAAAATGCCGCCTCTCTCCTGCCCAGCCTTCTGGCCCATGCCTGACTCCAACTCACTCACACTGCAAAGTCCAGATTCACTTTCACCTGCAAAGACAGTGAGGTCAAACCTTTTAGAGCTTTTAATAACCAACAGTCGGCTTTGTCCCGTGTGCCATCGGCTCACCGCCACTTTCCTAGGTTGCTTTGCTGAGCATGATGACAGGGTCAGGGGGAAGTGGGGCTTTCATCCAGCTAAGGCAGAAGCTTCCAGGAGACCCACCAGAGACAGCAAGGCACAAGGGAGTGGCCAAGGTCAGGACCAGTCAAGCGGGGCTGGGGAGGTCCAGGGTAAGGCTGGGGGTCCCCACCGCAAGCCAACGGAGGCAGAGCTGTGGCAGAGTTCCCGGTGGGTCTGTTGATGGAGATCCCTGCCCCACGTGGAAGTGATTGAAGGTGTAGCCTGCATGCCCAACCCACCTATATCCCCAAGGCCCTTGACCCTGATAGCTAGTATATAAGATGTGACTGAAAAATACAGTGTATGTTCCCATTTGTAAAAAATGTATTACAGTAAAAGACATTGCCATTAATCCCCCTCAAACCTCCCACTTGCTTCAGATACATGTATCCCACCATTCTTACCCATTTGTGAAGCAGTTCTGGAAGCCCTCCCTCGTGAATGTCTTCAATTGTGCTCATGTGGGTGCGTCGGCGTCCTGAATTAATTCAAAATGTTTACACCGAGCGTGGTGGCGCACACCTTTAATCCCAGCACTCGGGGAGGCTGAGGCAGGGGGATCACTGTGAGTTCAAGGCCAAGCTGTGCTACATAAGTGAGTTCAAGGCCAGCCTGAACTGCATAGTGAGACCCTGTCTCAAAAAAGACAAGAAAAAAATTTTTGTAATCCTTCATAGCCATTTTGACTGTCGGGAAAAGACAGAAGTCACACCTACCAGATTCAGTCAATAAGATGGATAAGGACACAGCACATGTAACACCTTTGCAAACCTGTCTTTCGGTTGGATGGCCTCGGCGGCGGCATTCACCATACTTTTTTATCATACCTCGTAAAGACCCCAAACAGGACTTGCAAAACTGCTTCAGAAAGTGGCAAGGACAATAGAATAAGTGTATCTTAAGTGAGGGGGATTCGTGGCAATGTGCCTTTTACTGTAAAAATTTTTTAAATTAAACATTCACCACGCATTCAATGATCCTCACACGCAGAAAGAAATGTAACGCCACCAGGGTTCTTTACAAAATGACCTTCAAAAATAATTCAACCTTCTCCAGGCCCGATGAGAGAATGAACTAAAATTCTTCCTGGATGATGTTCATGAGCTGTGTTTGGCTCCAAAATCCAACTCAGCGTGCATGTCCTGGCTGTTCTTGGCATCCGTGGGTCTATCGCTCCATATGGTGTGCGCATCTTGGCTGACCAATCTAAGTACTCAGCACAGGGCACAGTGGACATAAACACGCTCCATGAACGTGTGTGTGGATTTGGTAAGGTTCTAGATTGTCCATCTCCTACCGACACACGTGCTGCAGCCGGGGAAGGGTTTTTACACGTGCATCTTGCAGAAGCAGTAAAGAGCTTGGAGCATGTTTCCATCTCCCCAGTGTATCTCAGATTTGGGGGGTCAAGACAACACGCATAGCTTTACTTCTTCGAAACAAGTCAGCAAACAGACCTGTAAAGGCTGCCACGACCAAGCTGCCTCTTTGTTTTGATTTCAATTTTGTATTCACATTTAACTTTTTTTTTTAAGTTTATTGAAATGCTAAGAATGTAAGCAATGGCATCGCTCTTCTAAATCCAGCCACCTTTGGGTTCGTCCACTCTGTGAAGGATGGAGGACACGTGTCTTCCCACCAGATAACATAACCCTGAGCCACTTCGGGATCCTCTGGACCCTGGGCTTCATCGAGAAGTTTTCTACTGATGCTCGTGGTAGAGGGTTGGCTTTTTGTTAGGCTATAATTGTGGTTGGTAAATGGCTCACACACCCAAACCCACTGCAATGTCCTGGTCTTTCACCTGATTGTGATTGATTCTTTCTCTGTCCATTCAAGTAGGAAAAAACCAGATTCACTGAGTTGTTTTAGTGACAAAGAATAAGGCAGCTAAGCTCCAAGGAACAGTCTGGGGAAACACACTTAAAACTTATTAAAACTCCATTGCATAAGAAATTACTTTCCTCCTTCATTAAAGGAAACTTTTTTTTTCTTTTTTTGAGACAGGGTCTCGCTATGCAGTTTAGGTTGGCCTTGAACTCACTTTGTAGCCCAGGCTGGTCTCGAACTCACAACAATCCTCCTGCCTCAGCCTCCCGAGTGCTGGGATTACAGGCCTGCACCACCATGCCCGGCAAAGGGAAACTCTTGCCGTAGAAGCATTTCGTATGGTTTTCCTCTGTGCAGCGCCTCTTGGCGCCCCCTAGTGCCAGTCCTCGAATGTTCTGTCTGCCCCTTTTGGAGCAAAAATAGCTTCCTAAGGTTCCTAGGCCGCAAGTGCTTTGACCCTTTCATAGCAGGAACTAGACTATCTCAGTGACTTTCTTCTTTTCTCTCCAAAGGGATCATGTGCCTGTTCCTCACTTTGTATCCTAATCTTTTCTTTTCTTTCTGATGATCAAACCCATTGTCTAGCACATGCTGGGCAAGCCCTCTGCCACCCAGTCGCACCCCATCCCCTGCTCTTCGATCCAGACATCCAAATGGCCCTTTGCTCAGCCTCCTCGCAAGCTCCACTTCCCAGATCAATTCGGCACCAGTCTGGGACTCCAGATGCTCACGCTAACGCGGGCTTAATATAGCAAAGTCATCAGCACGGGCTGCGGAAATGCGTCCAGCTCTCTTAATAGGCCATTAACACATCTCTGCGAAGAGGCTGGTGAGGCCCCCAGACCAGAGCTAGGCATTAAGCTCAGATGCCCATCTGGTGCTACAAATGCTGTTGTGACTTTGGGTTCCTCATACGTGCCTCCAACGTTCTCCTAAATCATGAGTCAAGATGATTTGCTTTGTAGCTAACATTTATCTAACAGTGTGTCAAGTCTGGGTACCGACTGTGGTGTCTGGTTGATCATAAAATCTCATGTTCTTGGACTGACACAAAATCTAATTACCATCTGTCTGACCTTAGAAACCTAAGGGTTTGCAGGAGACCTAGTATCCTCTAGACTTAACTCTTCCACCCATGTGTGTAAACCAAAGGAACAGAACAGTTCAACAATCACCTGGGGCTCATATGACAATTGGACCCAAATATGCCCAATGGGCCATTCCTGCTCCAAAATCCCGCACGTCTGTGGGATCTCGGAGGTATCCACACCTCCCTGCATTCCCATTGACACTATACACCAGAGTTTCTCAGATTTGCCACTCTAGACATTTAGGACTGGACAATTCTTTGTTGCCAGGAACTCTTCTGTGTGCTGTAGGAGTTTTCTTAGCATCCCTGGTGTCTAGGTGGCATTAGCAGACAAATACACATTATGACAACCAAAATGTCTCCACGTACTACAATGTCCATTGTTTAATAGGACGTAATGGACTGTCTACTATTTACTAGAAGAAAAAGACTCCTACAAGGACTCATACACAAGATGCGATCCCTACCTCTTAAATTTTACCATAGAAGCTATGGCAAGCATGAAAATTTCCACAAGAGCAATACAAAGTTTAGTGAAACACAGATACGAGAGGAACTAAAAGAAGCTATCATGAGGGGCAGCCCTGGGGTATGATTGGGTCCCAAAGGGTGGGTGGAAGAAGCAGAGTGACAGAGTTCCCCCATCAGAGAGGGCGGAGAGTGATGAGGCATGGAGGTCTTCAAGGCATGAGGAGAAACCCTCTCTGGCTGAGGGGGTGGGGGTGGGGGACAGGAAATGAAAATAAGACACAAAAGGTGGGTTGGCCAGGTATCTGCATGGTCTGCTTGCAAGTTGAGAGCTACTTTATGGAAAAGACAAGTATCAGGCAGTTTTGAGCAACGTGATGGTGTGGTCAGAGTCACTCCTCAGGAAGAGTACATCCGGGGGCCTAAAGTGGATTTAGGTGGCAAAGATAAAGATGGAGGAATCAGCTCAGGAGGCACTGTCCCCTAAGAGGTGCTTGAGCAATGGCTGATGAGATAGAAAGAGAGGTGGACCTGTGTGCTGAGGGGGTGGGGGGGGTGGGAAGGGGGTAAAGAGATGCCCAGGCTTTGAACCTCAGTCCACCAGGAAATGGTACCAGTAGAGAGAGACAGAGAGGCCAAGCAAAGGCAAGCTGGGGGTGGGGACAGGAGAGCTTGGAATGGCTTCATTCTGTGTGAGTCTGGGGTATGTCAACCTCATCTCTGAGCTCTGGTTTCCTTCTTGGTGAAACGATGGAGCTGAGCCAGAGGGTTCTGTTTCTTTACAACTCCGCAATTCTATGAGCCTGTAAAACTGCTGCCCAGCGTTTGAGAAATAACACTTCCGGCACAGATATAGGCGATACGAGGTAGCTGCTCCCCACCTTGGACTTGGAGGGTCCCTGTTCTTTTCCACTCCTGGGATTCATGTTCCTTTTCCCTTCCTCCTGCTTGTGTCTCTGCAGCTGTGCATCCTCCAGTGTGAGGAGAAGGTGTTCCCCAACCCTCTCTGGACTCTGTGCACCAAGGTGGTGGTCAGGGGCTCCTGGCAGCCCGGTCCTGCTGATCCTGAACACGTGGTGGCCACTCTTTACCAGCCAAGAGCCTCAGAGATGCAGCATCTGAAGCGAATGCCCCGCGTCCAGAGCCCGTTCCAGGCACAGGAAGAGACAGAGCCAGGCGCGGAGGAGGCTGGCGAGGTGGAGCAGAAACAGCTGCAGAAGAGGTTTGGAGGCTTCACAGGGGCCCGGAAGTCGGCCCGGAAGTTGGCCAACCAGAAGCGGTTCAGTGAGTTTATGAGGCACTACCTGGTCCTGAGCATGCAGTCGAGCCAGCGCCGGCGCACCCTGCACCAGAATGGTAATGTGTAGCCGGAAGGGGCGCCCCTCCCAGCTGCATCGCCACTGCAACCCATGAGTGAGTCGGGGACAAAGAGAGACCTCCCACACACAGCCACCTTAGCCATTTCCCAGGCCCAAACACACAGATACACACACGCGCACACACAACAGACACACTCATACACGCACACCCCAAGGACTCCAGCTCCTAGGAGGCCTAGGAGGGACAGTCCCGTCCCTGTCGCCTGCCCACCCTCTCTCTAGGGAGCCAGGATTTTCCTATCCTTGATCCTTAAGCCTGACCACTCCCATGTAAAGATTGGTTACCATGGGGATAATAGTAGTATGTTAAGATAACTAATTCCTCCATAGCTCTCTGGGAGCTTAGTTACTATGGGGACAGTTAAGTGGACCAATTCTCTTATCTGGTTGCCATAGCAACCATTCAGCTCACCTTTCCTCGGAGACTATCTCTGAAAACCAGTGGCTGGACCTAGTCTTTGCCATTTGCAAAGAAGCTGATTACTGCCTTCCTTACTCCCTCCCTCTCCTCTATATCCCACGGGGACTCACCTCCCTGGAAATCATTAAACTTTCCCATTTCCCCCAACCAAGGAGCTCTTGTTAGAGCCCGGAGTTACATTATTTTCTTTCTTCCACAAGCTCCGTGTCCACCTAGGTCATTGCCCGAGAAAAACTGATTCCTTGTGGTTAATGGCGTCGTCGTGGAACAGGACTTTGAAAATTTGGCCCAACTCGCAGCTCTTAGAATATGGACTAAAAGATGCATCTTCTTTCCTCACTTTTTGCTTTCTCGCAGAGTGCCACATTTTGTTTTCCTTTGTTTTGTTTGCCTTTGTTTTTCTCTCCTTTCTTCTGTCTTTTTCTTTGCTCGTCTCCTGCTCCCCAAGGCATGCTCATCCAAGTACACAGGACACGTGTCATATACCTTAAGCAAAGCCTCCTTCATCCCACCATTCAGTCTCAACTCTCCCCAGCCCATCGGAGAATCCATAACTTTGCTTTTCTCTGGTACCGGGAACCAAACTCACGACCTTGCGCTTGCCAGGCAGGCGCTTTTGCCGCTGAGCTAAATCCCCAGCCCCGAATCCATAACTTTGCGTGGCACTGGAAAGCACCACAGTGGAATTTTCTGAAAATTTAAGAAAAATCCCGGCCAGCCGGTCTATGTACCTTAATCTGTATACGGGAATATGATCATGTGCCGAGTCCCACACTCCTCCTGACACTGTCTAGAAACTTGGTCCAGTGCAAAGAACTAGTCATTTCAACAAGATCATCCCCAAACATGGCCCACGCAGGGCTATTCCCTGAGTCAGAGGAATAAGAAAAATGTCTGTGCATGCTCTCTCCTTCATCTCTTCCTGAATCAAAGGTAGCCATAGCATGACTCATCTTCCTTCAGGGTTTATCCATCTGTAAATTGGTCTTTGGGGCCATGCTCCCTGGGGAGACAACCCGCAGAGCTCTTTGCAGGTAGGCTGCTTGTTTGCACTAAGCCTGTCGCCAAACACTGGCACAAGTATCAAACTGCGGGGAGCAGGCTCCCATGTTTATTTTAGCAGAATGACTAACTTCCCAAGTCCTGCGTGAACCCGAACTGTGTATGAAGTCATTCTATTTCTTTCCAAACCTCATCTGCACAGGACCTAATAAATCTTGCAGAAGTGGCATAGATTGAATTCTTTTATACCTTAAAGACGTTCTTCTCTGAAGTGGCTCTTAAGAGACACCAAAGCCCATGTCTAATTCTGAGCCACAACAATTTCACTTACCTAAAAGCAGTTTAAAATCAGTCCCATTAGCAGGAATCAATTTACTTGGAGAAAAAAAAGAAGCCGTGTGAGCTCCTATTCAGGCAGTTGTGTTTTCTGATTTTCTGTTATCCTTCCAACTGAGAGGTACTGAAATGTGGCCGGTTACCAGGTTCCAGCCGCTGCGTTGCTCAAGATGCAAAGCTCTTGGTGGTCACACTGGAACATTAACCAGCTCATTTGGGCATTATTGATGATGGCTCTCCTTTCTCCTTGAGCGGGCGTCTCTCTGGTCCTCTTTCCCGCACATGCATAGCTGCTGAGTTACAGTATGGACGTGTATAAATGAGCCTGTAATAGGCAACTGAAGCCTTGTGTTTAGTCACATACACAAAAGCCCGACCTGCCTGCTGCATGATAGATTCCTTCTGCTTCCTTTTACCAAAGCTGCTCTTGACTCCTAAGACATTCAGTGCCAATCTATACTGAGGAGGCTGCCACCCAGGAAGCGCAATGCATCATAGGAAGGCAAGGTATTGAGGGGCAGGTCCTGCTCTGCACAGAACTGTAAAAGAACACAGCCGGTCTTGGTGACTACCTCCCTTCCCCTGACCCTATACTGTCATCCCCTCTTCTGCTGCCTCAGGCCTTGATCCTTCTAGACTAAGTGGAAAATTAGCAGAGTCACCCATGACCAGGTGTGAGTGACCTGAGGCTTAAAGAGCACTTGTACTCTAAGAAAACCATAAAAGAGGACACAATTTAGCACAGATTCTGAACATCAGGGAAGAGAGACGTGCTTCCAGGTAGGGAAACTACAACTTTCAAGTCACAGCCCACTGACCTTACCTTTATCCTCTTACTCCTGCCACACAAGCAGAACAGGTGTGCAGAAGGGGGTTAAGGAACCCCTCTAGCCGCCTAGGAGCATCTTTCTTGGGTTGCTGGTTTTTCCCAGCCTCCTGATGGCTCCAGTCACTTGGGAGGAAAGAATGCGAGGGTCGGAAAAACCATCAGACTTGCATTTAATCGTTTCTGTCTCCCCAGGCATCCTGAGGATCCCCAAAACAGCATGTGTCCAGCCCCAGACCTGCCGGCTGGGAATCAGGATTCCTTCCTCCCCCAGGCACTGAGCCTGCAGGCCCTGCGGGCACGGCCTCTGGCGCCTCCCACCCAGTTGTCTCCCCTCTCCTGGCATGATTCCCCACAACCCTGTTGCTACATCAGAGTGTATTTTTGTAATTCCTCCAGCTAACATTTTAATGCCCCCATCTTTCCTTCTCACCCACCTCTTCTCTCTTCTGGGGCCGGGTGAAAGGAAAATGAAATCAAGCCTGGGGTTTCAACTTGTCACTGCCATAACTTGTTTGTAAAAGAGCTGTTTTTTTTGACTGATTGTTTGAAACAACTATTTCCCCATTAAACTTCTACTGAGCAAATGGTTAATAAACTGGTTTGCTGTTTCTAAGTGGCGTGATCAAGAGGCATAGACTGCAAACAGGGTGGGAGCTGTCCCTCCTGGGGGGTACAGGCAGAAATCTCTGTGTGCTGGGAGGAGGTGGGGCAAACTGTGTGAGCATCAGGAGCTCAAGGGTGTCATGCACCTCCAGCTGGGAGTTGCTTTACTCGCTGGGTGACGGCTTGGGGAGAGGGCAAAGGTGAAGTAAGTGGGTCCGGACTCTGTGTATCCAAATCCCAAGGTGGCAGGCTGTTGGGCCCACCTCCAGGCTCTGATAAGGTGGAAATTTGCCTGTTAGGAAGTCCCTGGTAATGCAAATCCAGTGCTTGGAGTCCCGACAAACCAGCCCGTGCTAGTTTTTATCTCCACTAATTTTAAGGTGTGTGGCTGTCAGAAACCAGCCAGGAAACACACAGGGAACCTAGACAGAGTCACTGAGGGGTTAAACATCTATAAAAGCAGATAAGGGGAGGGTTTCAGCACTCCTGTGGATACTAAAATCCAACAGTGCTCAAATCCCTCCTATAAAATGTGTATTTGCATATAACCTCCACACAAGCTCCTGTACACTTTACATCATCTCTGCTTACAATGCCCAACACCACAGAAGTGCTCTGTGCATAGCTGTTAGGTGTGCTGTTCAGGGAACAAAGACAAGAGGGAAAGTCTGTTCTTGGTCAGTTCAGATGCCGTTTTAAAAAATATTTTCACACTGCAGCTGACTGAATTTATAGATGCAGAACCCACAAATACAGACAGCCAACTGTACCCCTGACAGGAGTAAGCATATTCAGCTTTCAGTTCTATCACTGGGAAGTCTGAGATGACAGGGCTGCAGTGTTCTTGCTGTGTCCTCCCGCAGAACAAGCATGACTAAGGGTGGAAGCCACTCATCCTTTTACCGGAGGCCCTCACTGTGTATAACTAAGCCACGCCCACCATGACGGCCTGTGTGAGGCAGAGCCCCCAGGGTCTCAGCACCTCTAAGGACCCCACCTCCTGGGACCCCTGCATTAGCCATTAAATGGCCAACCTCGACAAAGAGTTTGCAGAGCAGCAAGGGATGGTGGGAACTCTGTAATGGAGCTGGGGAGCCCTGGTAGGAACAAGGAAGTTGTTCCCAGTTCTTACGGGTTCTTATGAACCCATAAGAACTGCAGCTATTCACAAACCCTGGAAGCTGAGGGGCTCAGTATCCTGACTTGCAAGCTCCAATGTGGTATCTCCTGGTGGCCAGACCTCACCAGGAGCTGAGAAGATAGGAGTCCATAAATACATCCAGGAGGGTAAGTCTGGGTAGCACCCCACCCCAGCTGCAAGTGGGAAATGCCAGCTGACTTGGGAGCTTCGGCAAAGGGTAGGAGAGCAGGCTGGTCCTAGTTGGGACTGCCTTGGGGGAGTAGGGTGAGGAAAGGACAGAGAGAAGTGGGGAAGACACGGGCTTCCCAACCTGTGCCATGACCAGCTTGCTGCATCTTCTCAGCCAACCCCCTTCCTCTCCAGCAATGGCGGGGTCCCCAGAGCCCACTCCTCCCAAAGCCACCTCTAGTCCCAAAAGCGACTCACAGAAGCTCTCAGGTGCCTTCCTCCAGCTCCTGCATCTCCTGCGCAGACTTCTGGCTTCATGTGAACAAGATCCATCAGCCCCTGACCCATAACCCACACCCACTACCTGAAATTCTGCCAAGGACAACACATCCCCTCATCTTATTTTATACAGACCAAACATTTAAACTTGCATCCACAACTTCTTCCAGCCTGGTTTCTTCACATGGTCTTGGAATCTACAGGTGCTACACTGTTTTTCTTCAAGTTTGGCAACTGAAGTTGTAGACACCAGCCCCTGGACGGGATGCTACTTCCTGCTCGGTACACCGAGGCCCGCTCTGCTAGGTGTGTGAGCACCACAGTGCCTGGGACCAGGTTCAGGACCCAGTTCTCTACGTAGAGGGCCCTGGCCTAGAGATGTACAGGTGTCCTCAAAGGCTCATATGCTGGAGGCGTGGACCTCAGAGTGGAGGTGGTGCCTAGCGGAGGTCCTTAGGTCACTGGAGGTGTGCCCTAAGGAGGGAGAGAAGGACCCGGCCTCTCTGGCTTCTTGTCATTTCATATGATCTCTCCCTCCCAGCACAGCCATCTGCCATGTGGCGTCACAGCCAAGAGGCCCTGGCTATGCTGTGCTGTTTGGACATTTAGTCTCCAAAACTCTGAGCTAAATATGCACCTTTTTTCTTTATAAAGCTAGCCTGCCTCAGGTATTTTGTTATAAAACAAAAATCTGACTAATGCATACTGTGACTTCTTTTCACCTATGTCCCCAGCCTGCTCCCTCAAAAGACTCAGCAATACAGTCAAGGAGATGCTGCCCTTTGTCACCAGAAACAACAGAAAACAGTTACTGTCTAGGTCACAATCCTGGTGCTGTTTTTTCCCAGCTGGTGACCCTGGGCAAGTTATTCAACCTCTGTGCCTCACTCTCCTTATCTGTAAAATGGGAACAGTAATGATTCCCTTCGAGAGTCACTGCGTAGGTAATCCAAGTAAGCAAGCACCTGGCTTAGTCCCTAGCCAATGTCATCCTCTGTTACTAGAATCAAATGAATGTGTACACCTCGTCTACAGCACGATGTGTGACCATCTGCTTAGCACCAAGAACAATCAGCATTTTATTCATTGCAAAAACGGGAGAGATAAGAGATCCACACTTTAAGTCAGACAATGTACCATTTTATTCCTTATAAAATATATTTCATATTGTTGGTGTAAAAACATTACATTTCACATTTTTAAAAAAATCTTTAACAGTAAAAATAATACTTGGAAGATGGCTGAAGGGAAAGAAAAGAAGCCAATAAGACAAATTCACAGATGGGATTTAGCTCCCTCCTTTTTTTTTTTTTCTCTTTTTTTTTTTTTTTTTTTTTTTTTTTTTTTTTTTTTTTCTTTTTTTTTGCCCCTGCTAAGGTCAGAACTTGGATGACCAGAAAGTAACGGGACAGATTTTTCTTCCAACAAATTAGAATTTCCACACTCAAATTAATATTGTCCTCCAAGATATCGTGCTGTGATGACGTGGCATGGCTCGAGACACTGTCAGAAGTCCCCGAACTGCTTTCAGAGCCTGCTTAAAATTCACATTATGAAGTCCAAGCTAAGTAACCTGCGTCCTTTTGCTCTGCACCTGAGACTTCCCCTGACCCCAGACACGATTCTGTTCCGCATGCTGCCGACTTCCCTCCCCAGCGCAGCCTCCACTCTGACGGCAGTCCCACGAAACACACAGCCACGCCTGGATCAGCGGTTTCCCGAGATAACCGCCTTGCAGATGGGTCCTGCCGCACCCGTGGCACTGTCCTCCTGTCAAATCCAGTGCCTGGGAGGGGCAGGGGGCTGGGCACAGGGAGACACTGCGCATGATCACTGAGCCAGCGCACAAGCTACCCCAGCTCCAGGAAGGAACCACGAAGCCACATCAAGGACAGACCCGTGTCAGGGGCCCACACAGCAGCCACAAGACAGAGGAGGCCTCCACCACTGAGAAGGGGGACAGAACAACGCAGAAAGGAAAAACCACGCAGAAGCAAATGACAGACACAAAACCCCCTCCGCTGTGAAAGCGTCCCATCTATTCCTTCTTTCTCTCTTCCTTTTCTGTCCTGCGTACCAAGGGCAGGAGGAGTCTGCCTCTCGTGGAGAAAAATCCTTGCATCAGCTACACGCGCACAGTCCAAGCAACTGGGGCTAGGAAAGGACTTCCGGGTCAGGGTCCCAGTGTCACGGTGCAGCAGATCCAGAAATGGGCAGCGTGGGAAGTGGGCAAAAGGGAGGCGCCATGCATGGCCTGTTTAGAAGAGGAGCCCTGCGCCACCTCTCGCTGGCCTGGTTTCGGGATTCACCAAGAAACAAACATCTGTATCCATTTTTCCCAAGTTATAGAAATATATCCCCACCAAATATGCTCGTACACAAGCGCATCTATCCCTCCTGTTGCCAGCCAGGCCCCTACACCCTTCACAACACCGTATCGCTATGCTGAGGGGTGCGGGTTTTCCAACACATGCATTATTTCCCATTGACATCACCTTTGGTGATATCACCCTTGGCGGCCAGGTGTTCTGACCTGGGACCAAGACAACAGTCTGGATAACAGTCAAAGGGGGACACTACTGCTCAGTCCCAGAGACGGTGACACGCGGGACACAGGGAGTCCGGGGTAGTCATATTCGGGCCCTGAGGCATGCCCAGCCACATCTGCACCCCGCCACTCGGTCCTTCGTCATCCCTGGCTGATAAGCACTGAACTCCCTGGCTCTCCCTCCTTGGCAAGACAGCTTTGTGTAGTGACCCCAACACCACCCGTCCCCCTGAGGACCTGTTCTCCACACCACCAAAGGCCAAAACCCCAGCAGCTGCTATTCAATCCCACGCCCAGCCTCCCTTAAGGTCCTCAGCCTCAGCCTCAGGCCCAAAGGGCTCTACCTTCCCCGCCCTGCCCTCTGCAGAGGAAGGAAATGGGGAAATCCCTGGGCCACCCACGTGAAAGGTCTCAGAACCCATCAGGCTAAAGGACAAAGTGTGGTGGCCCTTCCTCCTCCCACAGAGGGAAGAGACCCCGGGACGGGTCACTCCAGGAAGAACAGCATCTCCTCCGACACCGAAGCCCGCTCGCTCCTCCTCTGGGAGACGAGGACGCTCAAGGTAGTGCTGAACGGACACATTTCCAAAAGCAAATTCTTACTAGCCTTTTGGCTCAGCTACCTGGTGGCAATCTTCACAAATCCCTCAGTCTGGGCCTTGAGAAGAAGCCATAGAACAGGCAGCTGTCGCCACACGAAGGTTTTCTTTTTCCTTCCAGAAGCTGCTCAGACGGGGCAGCTTCCGGAAGCAGGGCCTCTCAGTGGCAAGCAAGGCACCGGCGGTGCCCACCCACCCGCAGTCCTCTCTCTGGGTTGTCCATACTGGCGAGAAGCTGCCTTTTTTTTTTTTTTTTAAAGGAAATTCATCTTGCTCACAGTCCTTTCTGGAAGAGTTGAGAAAGCAAAGGATTCGCCAGCTCAGCAGGGAACAGGGCTCATGTGGGACGCTGCCCCCTCTCTGAGACAAACTCGTCCCTCCAGCCAGGGGAAGTGGGACAGGGACATGGGAGAGTGACGGGGAGGAATTCTTTGGTCTCTGGTTCGCTGCAGAATACCCTTGGTCAGTTTTGGCTCTCTCCTATTTTACGGGGAAAAAAATTTCATTTTTTTTTAAAAAATAAAATGTTCCCCCGAGGGGGAAGAATTATTTTAAGGGTTACACCTCTGCCAAATGGGCTGGTACTCCACACTTCCGCCCGCATCTGCCCGGTTCCGCTGCAGCAGGTCGCCCACGAGCCTCGCTGACCCGGCTACCGGGCAGCAGGCGGCCGGGCCCGGGCTCAGTCCAGGAAGCGCTGGCACGCCTTCTTCCACCGGCACGCGGTGCACCACTGGTCCCGGTGCTCGATGCCGTACACCTTGCGGCATTTCTTGGCCTCGCCGCGGGCTTTCCTGCCAAGGGACAGCCATGAGGGTACCGTCACACACTGGTGGCCAAACACAGGCAGGGTGAGCAAGCAAGGGCTGGAAGGGTGGCTCCTAATGGAAGCCCGCAGGGCCCGACGCCAGAGGCGCAGGGGACAGAAGCCAGTCCCGCTATGTCCTCCACCCTGGGGCCCCTTGGGGACGGCCCCTGGTGGTTCTCCTGGGGTAGATTCGAGGCTCACACTAGCAGAGGAGATGGGGGACAGAACGCAGAAGGGACCACGCCACCCAGACGTCTCACCTGGTGCTGCTCTGGGCCCGGGGTGGAGAGGTGACGATCAGGTGAGACTTCACGGCAGGTGGCGGCTGCTGCGGCTCACTGAAGCTGAGTGAGCGGCTCCGGACCTGGGTACAAGGAACAGACATGAGCACAGGCCCTGAGCACCATCCAGGACAGCTGCCCGCACGCCCCGGAGGGCGGGTGTTCCAGGCAAGAGGCGCCACCTGTGGCCAGGCCCAGGTGGGGGTCGGGGGGCTGCAGAGCAAGGCGGGGCCCTAAGCCACACCGGGGACCCAGCAGGGGTCGAAGCGGGACAGCCGCCTGGGAGGCTGCTCTGCCTATGACTTAGACGCACGAATGAAGGACGCGCTCACGCTGCCTCACTGGCACCTTCTGGCAACAGGTCTTGTAACGTGTGACACTGCCCCGTGACACGTATTTGAGGCGAGAGCCCAGCACATGTGGTTCCAACGACTTCCGGTTTGTTTCAGTTCAAAGTGCAGCACCTAAGGTGCCTGTCCCACACGGCCCTGCAGCCTCCCAACGCTCCTCTCTCCTGCCCTGCCACTCCTTCCTCCCCGGCAGCCCCGCACTCTCTCCTTCCCTCTCCTCTGGGCGCTGGGCCCTGACAAGCACCCAGGGACACACAGGGCTGAGCAGGGAACTGACCGCAGCTGAAATCCACTTGCCCTAGACTCCTCTGTGAGCACCCCCGTCCCAGCTCAGACAGGGCTGGGGATGCGAGCGAGGACGGGGACACACAGGGACCCTCCTGGAGTCCGGGGGCTGGAGCCTGGTGACAGCACCCTCTGTGTGCCCAGGAGAGGCATCCAGCCCAGGGTGTGTGCGGGAGCCCCGCGCTTGTGCCAGGGCCCCAAGTGTGGAAGGGCACACTCACCGGAGAGAGCGGGGAGGCAGTGGCGGGGGCGGCGGCCCAGCTGATGCTGGTGTAGATGTGGGGGGACACAGGGATCTGGAGGGATGGCAGAGCCTGTGGAGACAAGAGCACATCAGCCGGGCTCTGGCTTGGGAAGCACCTGTCTGCCTGGGACCCTGTCACTTCACATTGTGCAGGGAAAATACAGCTGCGCCTAAGTGAGATGACCAGAAAGTTCCAGGGCAGGCCAGAGCCATCGCCCCAGGAGCACCCTCAGAGCGAGGCTCTTCCAAGCCACCTCCTACACCCATCTTGCTCCTTGACCCTCCCTGTGACTTGATCCTTGCAATGGCTTCTGGGTGCCATCACCCACCAAGAATACGCCACACACGGCTGCCAAAAGAAGCCCCAACACCCAGGTCAGATGGCATCAGCATCGCTGAAAGATGACATGGAAAACACTACTTTTTAATTACCAATTTGCAAAGTGGCCCAGAGTCCAAAAAACAAAACCAAGCTGTAGGCACAATAAGATTTTAAAGTCAGCACACAGGAAGCTCCACGTGCACCTACTACGTGCCATGAAAACATCCTAAATGTCACCCGCTGTGACACTTCCCCAAACACACTAATGTACTACGTGGTCTCACCTACACCCCCTGTGCCTCTGTAAGGCAGTACGTCGACTGTTTATTATAATTAGTCATAGCTATTTCTCTCTCCAGCTACACCACACACTCTACAGGGCCAGCGGCCAGGTTATTCTATGTGCAGTTTACTTAGCCCCATATTGGACATTGGTATTCAAAAGAGGATTATTTCATGAACAGTTGTAGGAACTAAGACTTGCCCAGGGAAGCCCAACTATACTACTCCACTGCTTTAAACAAAAAAAAAAAAAACCTGAGGCTTGAACCGAGGGAATTCTCCTGGAGCTCCATCCCCAGCCCTTTTTATTTTGAGACAGGGTCTCACTAAGTTTCCCAAGCTGGACTAGAACTTGCAATCCTCCTGCCTCAGCCTGGCAGAGTGCTGGGATTACAACCCTGCACCACCATGCCAGCGATGTGACGGTTCCCCGGCCCAAATCCACCAACTCGATTACTCAGGGATTCAGCTAGATTGCTCAGAGCACTCATGACAGCTACGAACGGAGTGCTCTGAGGACTCCGGCAGGTACTGCATGGGACGTTGGCTTTCTTTTCCTTCTTTGTGGAAGTAAGGTCAGCACTTTGGCCAAAGGGCTCAGCTGTCAGTCAGGGTGGCCAGGGTCCTGTGACGCTGCTGGTCACCGACCGGTTATGCCAAGGCTGGCCCCCCAGTGCCACCCTCCTTACCTGGTACGCATGGTCGGCCTGAATGTGCCAAAAGGAGCTGGGAGCCGACTTGCTGAGCGCAGCTGAAGGCAGGGAAGACTCCAGGCCAGGGTGTTTGGAGCCAGAGCACTGGGCTTTGGGCGGAGGCAGAGGGAGGGCAGCGAGGGACGGACTGGTCACTCGGGCGGTGGGGGCCGGCTCGGCAGTAGGAGTCCCAGGGGCAGAAGGGCCAGCTGCGGTCACGGCAGGGTCTTCCTTCATCTGCACCTCTGTGTAGTAGAAATCCTCCTCCCGCTTGAACTGGTCAGAGTCCACGGAGTCCCTGTGTGGGACAGAGAGGCGGCCAGCATCAGAACCTCTGTTCAAAGCCAGCGGAAACTGCAGGGCAAGGGGGAGGCAATGGCTGGGGGCCGCCTAGCGAGCCCCGCTGGTACCCAGAAGGCCCAGGAGCCTTGCTCCCGACCAGGGCCTGAGAGATTCCCCGCAAGCACACCAGCGGGAATTGTGTTTCCTGGCACGGGGGGCCTGTCCTTTCCAAACACGGACTTTGAGCCCTGCCCTGGGCCCTCCAGAGGTCCCTCCTCCACGCCAGGGCGGTGAGTCCCCTCCCGCCACAGCAGGCAGTCGTTCAGCCAGCTCTGCACAGATCCAGACCCTGGCCCCACTGTCGGTGCCAATGGAGCCTGGATGCCCAGTGAGAACGGAACTGCCCGCCCCACATCTTGGCCAAAGGGTTGCACCAGTGCTTGGACCGAAGTCCCTCAGCGCCACCCACAACTGAAACTGGGCATGAAGCTGCATCCGCAGGACAGACGCACTGCCTCCCCAGCAGCCGCATCCGTCCTCACCCACCGCCCGGGACCTCCAGGAGCTCCACGCTCAGCAAATCAGGGCCCCCGTGCTGCCGGGCTGGGGGAGGAGCCGGTGAAGGCGCACTCCACGGCACTCTAGGAAGAAGCCCTGAGCTCCAGACCTACCCCAGGTGCAGGGCTTTGACGTGTCGCTTGATGCCCACGATGGAGCGCAGAACTTTGCCACAGCTGGGCCACAGGCACTTGTACACCACCTTCACAGAGTTCTAGGGGAAACAGGAGTCTGGTGACCGCAGTGCGTTCTCCTCCCACTCTCAGAGGGGACTGCCGCTGGCTGCTGTACTAGGACTCAACAGCAGGCGCCAGGCCAGCGTTCCCTGGGCGCGGAGACCGGCAGCCAGGGGTCCCAGGAGCTGGCCCTGGTGGCCACAGCAGTGCTTGGTGCTGTGGCTAGGACCCCACCTCTGCTTCTCATGCACAGGCCTGTGCAAGGGCGTAGGGAAAAAGGCAGGGCCCACAGGAGGCCAAAAAGGTTGAGGAGAGGCTGAGGCAGGGGGATTGCAAATTCAAGCCCAGCCTGGGCGACCTAGCGAGACCCCGTCTTATAATAAAAGTCACATACCTTCCTTTTGCGTGGAGCTGGTTCGTCCAACAGGAAAGGGTCAGGATCAGTCTCAAAGCCATGGTCAGTTTGGGGAGAACCAAAGGCATCCCCCAAATACTTGGGGCTGGCCTGGGGGTGTGGGGGCGAGGGCGTGGAGATGCCGCTGCTGCCGCTCCAGTGGCCACTGGTGGTGCTGCTGCCGCTGTCAGACACGTCCCCGCTCTCCTTCCAAGGGTCACCGCAGGCCACTCGGGAAGCTGGCCCAACGGAGAGAAGACAAAGGACACTCGTGGAATTGTCCACAGGTGACAGGGCCCACCACGCTGCATCAGACACACACCGCAACACCATCTTGTGAAGGACCAACAGCCGGACGCCTGGTTAAGGTCTGTATCTTACTGCATAACGTTGGAAAGTCAGGAGCTGGGCAAGGTGGCGCATGTCAGTCGTCCCAGCACTCTGGGAGGCTGAGCAGGGGGACTGAAAGTTCAAGCCCAGCCTGGGCAATTTAACAACTTCGCAGGACTCTGCCTCAAAATAAAAAAGTAAAAAAGGGATGAGGCGTAGCTCCACGCAAAGGCCCTGGGCTAAATCCTCAGTACCAAGGAGAAAAATCGTGGAGCCTTTTGCGCCTCCAGCCTTGAGAGCTCAGTGGGGGAATACTTCCCAGGGCTGGTGGCAGCCAGGTAGCCACAAAGGGACACCAGCATGGCGGCCATGTCAAGCCAGAGGGTCTGAGCAGCAAAGGCCCAGGCAGGGTGTAGGATTTTCAGGGTTTGGCTGAGGACTGAACCCCGGGCCTACGCATGCTAGGCAAGTGCTCTACCACTGAACTCCACCCTGAGCCCTGACTTTGTTTTTAAACTGCCCATCTGCTGGCTGCTCCAGGCTCAGCCCAGACCCCTTCGCTCCTGGGCCACAAATCCAGATGAGATGACAGTGTAGGAGAATCTCAAGTTCTATACATGGAAACAGCAGGACAGAGGGGAAATGCCCCGAATGTTCCTCCATGGGCACTCCAGAGACGTCCCTGAACTCCAGGTTCCAAGCTACACAGCCACACCCCTGGTGGCCAGGGAGAAATCCAACCACCTGTCTCTCCTCCCGAGCAACATTCCAAACTGCCCCGTCCCTGTCTCCAGTCCAAGCCCACTTCCATCTGCATCCGAGGAGATTATCTATACCAGGGATAAGAACAGGGTAGACACTCGGGCAGAACTCAAGAACCACCCAACAGGCTCGTGGAGATCCACTCAGGAAGCCCACGAGGGACGGGATTGGAGGGACAATACATCCAGGATGACCAGGTCCCTGAGGGCGAATGGCAGGTCAACCACCAGGCAAGCCCTGGGCATACAGCAACCCTGCCGCAGGGCAACCACTTCCAATGACTGGTACCCCAAAACCAGCGTGCCAAGGAAGCAAGACAGAAAACCAAGCCAGAAGGCAGTACTGGAAATTAGTCCAAAAGTCACTAAGATGCAGGGGACTCCATCTTTGATCAGAAGTTCTTCCAGGGCACAAACAACAGCTAAATAGCCTAGATCCTGAGAAAAAGTAGCCTGTGAATGCATAGCAGTGAGAGTTTACAAGTAAGCCTTCTAGAATTGTTTGTAGTCCCTGTGTACATGTGCACTTGTTTGTTTGTTTGTTTGTTTGTGGCAGGGTCTCACTATGTAGCCCAGGTTGGCCTCAAACCCAGGGTGATCCTCCTGCCTCAGCCTCCTTAGTGCTGGGATTACAGGCGTGCAGCCCCACATCCAGCTACTGGAGCAAGGTTCTAAGACTGTTATGTAGACCTCACTCTGCAGAACCCTTTAAATCATTAGCTGCCAAGGAAGCCTTATGCTTCCACCGACTTCAACCACAAAAGCAGAAATGTAAGGGGAAAAAAAACTGTAACAGACAATGAAAACTTGGCAACAAGAGACTGAACAGCCTGGGTACAGTCACATATGTCTGTAATCCCAGCTACTCAGAAGGCTGAGGCAGGAGGATTGCAGGTTCAAGCCCAGCCTGGGCAACTTTGTGAGACCCTGTGTCAAAATAAACAGTTAAAGGACTGGGGATGTAGCTTAGTGCTAGCGTTCCCTTGGGTTCAAGGCATAGTGCTTCCCCAAAAGGAAGGGACAGAAAACATCAGGATTGTGGCATATCATCCTGAGACACATATAGGTTGGTGTGCATGTGTGTACATGTACACTCCTCATAAGGACTAGAGTCATTCATTTTTTTCTCCTGGGTCTCTTGCCTCAACGTCCTGGATCTCCTAAACCTGCAGAACTACCTGAGAATTTAAAATCGACTACCCTCTTCCGGGGTCTTTGTGGGGAGGGGAGGGTGAGCGAGCACATGCGCGCTCTAAAATGAAGCAGCCTTGCAGTACTAGACTTCACCACTAGGTGTCCTCAGAGCGTAGGCTCTAAGTTTGTTCTCTCTGGTCTGGGGAGATTACTTATGGGGGACACTTGTAAAGGCCACTTTCCTCCTGATTTGCCCCAGATCTAATTCCATGTTTTCCCGCGATTCATTCGGGTCACACAGACAAAAAAGTACTTCCCTGGGAGTAAGGCAGGCCAGCTCGGCAAGAAATTTCCAAAAAACCCTTCAGGACACCCGGCGATCCTTCTGCCCCTACATGACCCTCCAGGTGTTCTGGGGTTACCATCAGCTGAATTTCTGTTTTAACACAGATTCGAAGTCACGCCCTTGGTTTTTATCAAATCTAAGCTGGATTTGAGGGCTCTGCTGGGTGGCTGCAGGCCCCACAGGTGACAGGGAGGCTGAATCAGGCACTTGGAACAGGAGGTAGGAATTTTCTGAGGCCACGAGGGGACCCCTTAGCGTATTTCCACCTTGGTGAACTCAATATTCCTCTTGTCGCCTTGTGCAGGCTCCCAGAGTGCAGCACTCGCCCAGTCCCAGGGAAGAACTCGCTCGAGGGGCCAGTTCAGCTCAGCGCTGAGCCTCAGCGTCTCCGCAGGGCTCCAGGGTGCTCTCCCCAGGCGGGGAGACTGAGGAAAAGGGGCGGAGGCTTCTGGCTCAATGGCACCGGCACAGCCTCCAGAAATCCCAGCGCCAAGCTGACTTTGGCACTGGCTACTCAAAGCAGAGGGGGTCGGGCCCCGCTTGCTCACCAGAGAAGTTGGCTTCAGCCCCGGGAGGGCTCTGCACAACCGGGCTGCAGGACAGGGACGTCAGCACCATAGCCGCCATCATCTCGTCCATTTCCACCGCATCCGACTTCCTGGATTCAATCGGGAGGGGGAAGCTTACTTCCTGGGCTGGAGGGTCCACGGTGCCCTCAGAACGAGCCAACGTGCGGTTATCTTCCTGGGATCACCTTACACTTCTGTACTGTGCCCCAGAGTCCCCATCCGATCGGGCAGCCTGTGCTCAGGTGTTAGGAGGAAATACACCCGAAGGGCTCGCCTCCTTCTAAGTGGGATGTGCTTGCTTGCACGACGTTTACCATACTAGTCAGCTACAGCGGGAGCAGGTGGGTCCCCCGCTTACACTAGGCTGGCACCCCAAGCAGCCCCTTCCTCCCCTGACTTCACTTCCAACTCTGCAGCTTAAAATGGAACATTTTATTTGGGGGAGGAGAGAGGAATTGAAACCATAAAGGATGGGAAGAAAAGATGCCCAATAAAATATCAAAACACTAAAATTACCTCCTTTCTTTTTCTCATGTTATTGGTGGACGGCTTACACATGACGGTCACATGCATTGTGGGCAGCTGGCATATGTATATAATGCATCTTAATTCTTTTTACTAGCCCTTCCCCTACCCCCTCTCTAGGTCCTCTTCCCAGCTAAAAAGGGTCTACCTCCCTCTTTCCTAGCGTCTTTTATTTTGCTCTTTCAACTATTTATACTTTGGATTTCTCATATGAGACACTATGCGATACTTAAACTCCTGTGTCTGATTATTCACTTGACGTTACAGTCTCACGGTGCACCCATTTTTAAATTATCTCCTTTTCCTGCTTTATATTGAAACTGAAGAGGAAATACTACTACTAATCACTTTCTTCCTCCTCTCCCGCCAGATACAGAAGGCATTCTATTAGCTGCTAAATATCAACACGGCCTACTGCAGAAGCCTCGGAGCAAACAAACCATACATGAAATCTCCCTGCACAAGTCTCAATGTTTTATACAGCAGCATTCTATAAAATTTATGTGCAAATTTTTTTTAAAAATCCATATGCAATTATATTATTTGGAAGCAAAATTAGATCCATCTGTAAGTTAATGCTAAAGTATTAGGAAAAGTTAGTCTGAAGTTAACTTCTAGCTGGCTTGTCTTTTTTTTTTTTTTAAGGAAAAGGCCTTCTTTAAAGCTACCTCTGGGGAGGTGGAGGGGCCTCACATCGCCACACACCATCTCCTTGTGCCTGGGTGTGCAAGGGTCTTTCATAGCGTGGCTGGTCTATTTGGAAGGACTGCGCTAACTCTGTTTTTTTTTTTTCTTTTTTTTTACAATCCAGACTACTAAACTATGAAACTAGGTATGTAGCAGCTAAACCAAGACCACCAGCCAGTATATGAAGCACAGTTATTTATATGATCTTTGAATATTCATTTGCTTATACTAGAAAACAATTTCTTTGCAGGCATATACTAGAAAACAGTTTCTTTCCATTCAACACACAATCACAAATAAAGTCAAAATACTGGATTGGGCTCAATGTGGTGGTGCACACCTGCAATCCCAACCATTGGGAGGCTGAGACAGGAGGATTGCCACGAGTTGAAGGCCAGCCTGGGCTACACAGTGAGACCCTGACTGAAAAAGAAAAACAAAATACTGGGACTACTGTACCAGGAGTAGCACCTACAGACACACACAGAGGTGGGACCAGGCCACAATGCCTACCTATCTTGTGTATAACACAGTCCCAGTCAGCAGATTTTCTTTCTAAATTTGATCATCATTCTTTTTTTTTTTTTGGTACCGGGAATCGAACTCATGCTTGCCAGGCAGGTGCTTGTGCCAGTGAGCTATATGCCCAGGCCTTTTTTCTAAATTTGAAAAGACCAATAGACACAGACAATGTAACATAGAAGCTAGAATATATATTCTAAGGGAAAAGTCATATCATAAACTCCAACCCAGATACGCTAGCACATGTGCAGTTTTAGCTACTCAGGAGGCTGAGATGTGAGGATCATGTGTTGGAGGCCAACCTGGGCTACACAGTGAGACTCCATCTCAAAAAATAAACCAAATAAAACTCTAAAGCAAATCATCCACTCCTCCTTCACCACCAATGGTTCCGAGTATTCAAGCCAGGGTTAGCACCCTGGGCGGCTGCCTGGAGCCATATGGTTTTTCAGCTACAGATGGTTTTACATTTTTAAATGTTCTTCTTTAAAGAACTCAAAGAAGAGTATTATTTCTTGGCATGATACATAAAAATTATATTAATTACACTGAAATTTGAGGGTCCATAAATAATGTTGGGCTGGAGTACAGTCTCGCCCCAACTTCCGCCTCTGCTCTGTACCCCATCTGCCCACTGTCCTGGCAACGAGACCCTAAGACCCACATTCCCGCCACCCCAGCACAGCCTGCGGCCCAGCCCTCACTGTCACGCACCTCTTGGGGACATCGATGTTCCTGGAGACCGGTCTGTAGGCCGGTGCCTGGGCGCCATGCTCCGGGGACAGCGCCTGGGGGACAACGCCCTGCAGCTCCGCCAGCCACACCTCCTCCGCCTTGCAGCAGATCTGCAACTTCTGGTCCAAGAGCCACACGGTCACCTTGTCCTCTGCCCAGCTGTGCCGCTCCACCAGGCCCGTGCACTCCCGGCCCCCATACCACACGCAGACCTGTGGGGCATAACAGCCCAGGGTCACCACTCCGCAGCTGTCACCCCACGTTCCAAGGGTCAGGATGTGTTTGCCGTGTCCCGTGATCACTGACTCACGCATCTCTGGGTCACGGTGCTGCAATCCGCATGGGCCCCCGTGTGACAGTTTTAGCAGGTGAAGGTCATGGGACTCTGCGCTCAGGAGCATTTCTTATCTCAAGGGCAATTAGGAATGAAAGCGCAGTTGCTCTGAAAGCAAGCAGAGCCCCAAGGCCCTCACCCCACGCCGTGCCGCGCTCTCGGGCCTCCCAGCCGTTCAATTCAACTACCCAGGCGCAAGCGTTCTGCTACAGCAGCGGCCAGCAGACTAGGGCTGAGCAGAGCCCCGGATGAGCCACACTGGGCCGATCCTTCCCCACACTGGGCCCTGTGAACTCTCCACTGGAAGACAGTGACCCCAACAGCAGCCGCAGGTCCCTGGGATCCATATGCCCATCTTCCCGCCTCGCCCAGCCTGGTCTCCGCATCCTGCATGCTGGCTGGTGCCTGGCTCATGCCCGAAACTGCCCACACCCTGCATTTTGCCTTACCTCCTGGGCAGAGGGTCTGGGGCACCAGTCAAGCAGGGAGACAGAGGCAGCATCTCCACTCTGCCCAAGAGAGGCGGAGACAGAGGAGCCCAGGCATCTGGATGCGGTGAAAATATCTGGCCCAGAGGGTGACAGCCCTGGCCCTCAGGGGACACTGAAGGCCAAACTGAATTCTGAGGACACAAACCTCCTCATGCCTCAAAGCAACGTTTAAAGCTAATTCTAAGAGGCAATCTCTGGCCCTAGAAGCCTGAGGTCTTTTTCCTTGTTTTGAAAAGCTGGCAGATTGCGTCCCTGGATCACTCACCTTCTGTCCGGGCTGGAAGGCCACCTGCTGCAGGCCTGCGGAGCCCAGGGCCTGCAGGAGCTCCTGGGGCTGCTCCCGGCTCCCAGGGTCCTTGCAGGTGAGGACAGGTTGGGGGGCGGCGCCCTCTGGCAGCTCCACCTGTGGCTCCAAGGGCGGCCCGGCCCCCAGGGGCCCATCAGAGGCAATGGGGCCGAGCACCCGGGCTCCCAGGAGCGACCGCTTACCCAGGCGGCGGGACAGCACGCTGGCCATGCTGCTGCGTCTGCGGGGGGTGAAAGGGAGAGTGAGTCTTCATCCAGCGTCCCAAGGAAGCAGAGACTGAGCACCAAGCCAGGGAGCGTCATCAAAATGAACAGAACATCTAAAAGTCACATTTATCATTATTTTTGCTCTTACAAAATTTGTATCATCCCAAGGAGGGCATTAAGAAAATACTAATCGGCACAAAGAAAAGAAAGTCGCTCAGAAACCTGGCTCCCAACGTGCTCATTTTTTCTAAATAGCGTTCTGCTCTTTCTTCCATACATGTACTTACCACAGCTTTACTTCTATAAAAACAGGACCCAGGGTTGGCAAACTGAACCTTCACTTTATTTGCGGGCTAAGTTTCTACCGTGTCATTAAATGGTACTCTCTGCAAACACAGGCACACAGGATTTTCTTAGGCAGAGACAATCACCACTGATGTAACACATCTGTGTCCTCGAAAGCCGCCTCAGATGCACTGCTGTCGAAACCTCTCTCAGCTAAACCGCTGTGCACACGCACACCCGTGTGCTTCCGTGGGTGAGGTTCCCACGCACGGCGCTGCAGGTCCCAGCAGGAAAACATCCGTCACACACGCAGCTGCCCCAGCTGACTTGGCTCCAAGGTACCAAGAGCTTAGAAACAAAGAACGCTATTCTGCTCACCTGCTCGGGGTGACAAAGAGGGGTCAGTGCCAGAGCCTGACAGAGCAGATCCCTTCAGGAGACCCTGCTGTCCCTGGCCCTGTTCCTAGGCCTGTCTGCTGCTGCAGGTCTTCTGTCCCCTCCTATCTGTGTATTCAGCTGGTATTTAGCTGAGGAATGGCTGTGTCCAAGGACACCCTGGTGCCATGGTGCTGGACAGATATAGAACACCAGGGTTTTCAGAGACCTCGTACCAAATGCTACCTCCCCAGCCCAGAAGGCCTCACCAGGCTAATTCCACTTGTCCACAAGTCCTGTCTGAAAGTCGTCACAGTATGTGTTTAAATTTTTAAAAATTATTATGGGTTTAAGGGAGAGTAGGGGAGTGGGGAAAAAGTTACATCATGTACAGGTACAAAGTCTCTATGATGAACGTGATCATTATGTATATCTAAAATATACCAATAAAATACAATGTGAAAAAGTTATTAAAGGATGCACTTCTGTTAATCTCCCTCAAAATGCTCCCCCTTACTTGCAGCACTCTTATGCCATTGCTCCTGCCACTTTCTGAAGCAGTTCTGCAAGTCCTCTTTCGTGAGTGTCTTTAGTTGCACTGTCCTGGCTGTCTCAATGTCCTGAATTGATTCAAAACAGTCGCCTGTCACGATCATTTTGACTTTAGGGAAGACCCGGAAGTTGCACACTGCCAGATCCGGTGAATGAGGACAAGCTGTCACATTCCTACCACCCTGCCTTTCCACTGGACAGCACTCGGTGTGAAGTGGCCTGCTCGCTGTATTTTTGATCACACCTCATGAAGACACTCCTGAAAGAGGACCTCCAGAACTGCTGCAGAAACGGGCCTGAGTGATGGGATAGGAGTGTTCAAAGCAAGGAGATGTGTTCTGAGGGGGATTCATGACAATGTGTCTTTTACTGTAGTAACTTTTTAAATTTAAACATGGACCGTATTTTTTTATCACACCCTGTATTAGGCTCAGCCTCTCAAGTAGAGGCTGCTCAGTCA